CAAGTTATATTTTTCTCATTTAACTAAATAATGTAAATAAGTCAGCATAATTCTCATGTTATCAACTATTAAGAGTACAATTCAAAATTTAATGGACAAACCTCCTAATGATAACAGTATTTTCTTTTTTTAAACATAAACGTACAATGCACTGTTCCAAATTATTACGGACAGTAAGTTTCAAAACACTTTATCAGTTGTAAAGAACTGAAAATTGTCATTTGTTGTGTTTGCAGCATATTTACTCAAATCAAAAGCTATTTCAATCAAACTTATAACAACATTTTAACTTTTTAAACATTTTAACAGGTCACATTACATTTTAACATAGGACCCCTTATTTGATACCAGCTTCACAAGTCTTGCATCCATTGAACTTGTGAGTTTTTGGACAGTTTCTGCTTGAATTTGTTTGCAAGATGTCAGAATAGCCTCCCAGAGCTGCTGTTTGGATGTAAACTGCCTCCCACCCTCATAGATCTTTTGCTTGAGGGTGCTCCAAAGGTTCTCAATAGGATTGAGGTCAGGAGAGGATGAAGGCCACACGATGACTTTCTCTCCTTTTATCCCCATAGCAGCCACTGATGCAGAGGTATTCTTTGCAGCATGAGATGGTGCATTGTCATGCATAAAGATGATTTTATTACGGAAAGCATAGTTCTTCCTTCTGTACCAGGGAAGAAATTTGTCAGTCAGAAACTCCACATACTTTGCAGAGGTCATCTTTACACCTTCGGGGACCCTAAAGGGGCCGACCAGCTCTCTTCCCATGATTCCGTCCCAAAACATGACTCCACCACCGCCTTGCTGACATCGCAGCCTTGTTGGAACCACCAGCCATCCACTACTCCATCCATCTGGACCATCCAGGGTTGCACGGCACTCATCAGTGAACAGGACTGTTTGAAAATAAGTATTTATGTATTTTTCTGCCCAACGCAGCCGTTTCTCCTTGTGAGCATTGGTTAGTGGTGGCCGAATAGAAGGTGTATGCACAGTTGCAAGACTCTGGAGGACTCTACACCTTGATGTCCGTGGGACTCCAGAGGCACCAGCAGCTTCAAATATCTGTTTGCTGCTATGTAATGGTATTTTAGCAGCTGCTCTCTTGATCCGATGCATGGATCTGGCAGAAATCTTCCTCAATGTGCCTTTATCTGCATGAACCCATCTGTGCTCTGAATCAGCCACAAATCTCTTAATAGTGCGATGATCACGCTTAAGTTTTCGTGAAATATCTAATGCTTTCATACCTCGTCCAAGGCATTGAACTATTTCACTCTTTTCGGTAGCAGAGAGATCCTTTTTCTTCCCCATATTGCATGAAAATGGTGCTCTGCTTAATAATGTGGAACACCCTCCTTTAGTAGTTTTTCCTTAAACTGGGCTTACCTGGCAATCTAATTATCACAGGTGTCCGAGATTGTTTTCAGTGATCAAAAGAGCCCTGAGGCACAATGCCATCCATGAGTTAAACTGAAAAACAAAATATTTAATCTTTGTGACACTTAAATAGAATTTGCAGAATAATTTGGAACAGGGTGTCATGTGATATTCTTTCTTATGTGGTGGCATATGATTCCCACTGTACAGAATAGGAAGTAAAGAGTTAATTCAGGTAGGTAGATGACACACACAGCAGTTTATAGCAATTACAACTCCTAAGTGTAGCTGCCACTTTTTTATTTTTATTAATAATGGGGGAGCTCTGCTTTGAAATCCTCCCTCGCCAGCAATGAGTGTTCAGATAAGCCAAACTAAAGTGAGGACAGAATTCTGTTTAGCAAGGGGAAAGCTATTCACAACAATCAAATTGTCCTTCCGTGCACAAATCTACTGTTATTCAACAGAGATATCCAAATATTAAAATAAATGAATTAATTCATATTGATTGAATGTTTTTTTCAGCTTGTTTGGTGAATTCGGGTTACCCATATAAAGGGCCAAACCGTTCTCTGTCCATATGCTCAGTGTATATTGATTCAGATTCACATTCAGTGACTGTGTTCTCTCCTGTAACCCTGAAAGGGTTAATTTAACACCAGATATTGTCATGAGATTTCCACCACTAATACAGCTCACCTCAACGCCATTTTCTATTTACAAAATGGCGGTTTCTATTGTTTCCTATGAAGCTCTGGCTGGAGCGTTTTTAATAAAAACAAGAAAGTACAGAATTTTAACAGCTGCGTTCATTTGTTTCTGTCTCATTTATGTTACTCACTGATCTTCATAAAAGGTAACATACTGAGGCAGAAAATGCAAATTACAGGTATTGGAAGAGGTTGAACGAGTCCTTAATTTATCGTAAAGAACATTCGCTCATTGTTCATATGGAAACCCAGCAGCAGCTATTTACATGATATGGAGCAGGAACAAATGGAAAGCGTTTTATAGGTAGAGGAGAAAATTCCTGATCTGCACGGACATTGTTCTCCTCAATATGGTGAAACAAGCAAAAGAATGAATGATCTTTGAGGACACAATAACCAGGTTCTCTTGAAATAAACACAGAAAGGACCCATACCTCCAGCCAATCAGTATGTGAAAACACATAAACAATTCAGATTCTCAGAACTATGCACGATCTTGGCACTTCTTGGAGGAAGCCACCACAAAACTCATTACTGGATGCCTAAAATCCCAGCACCCTGATCTCGCTGCAGGAAATCCTGCCCTACTTCCATCTAGTAAAGTTTATGTATTTTATGGAGTTAAACCTTCTGGACACAGTATATTTATTACCAAGACAGTACATCTCTTCCTTCAATTTCACGTACAATACCGGCAATTGCCCTGTGGAACACTTATTAAACCATCTGTGTGTGTGTGTGTGTGGGGTAGTAGTGTGTGTGTGAGGGGGAAGTAGTCTGTGTGTGTGGGGGGAGCGCGTGTGTGTGTGGGGGGTAGAAGTGTGTGTGTGTGGGGAGGGAGTGTGTGTGGGGGGTAGTGTGTGTGTGTGGGTAGCGTGTGTGTGGGGGGATAGTGTGTGTATGGGGAGTGCATAGGGTCTATGCTGTGTGTAGGTGGGCAAGATGTGAAAATCTATATCTTTTACCAGGGAGGTGGGACAAAATGCTGCAAGCCCTGGTGGTCCAGTGGTGGCATATTCACTTTAGCCAGCAGCTCCTCTGGCTGCAAGCTGACTCTCCTTTCCTCCTGCGAGCACAACACTTTATCGGAGCGCTACAATTGTAACGTACGGCAAAACTCAGACCTGCCTGCTTGCTTGAGAAACACAGACCCTCCCCTCTCTCTGCTGGAACTAAGTGCAAGTGGGCTGGTGAGGGAGATCTTTGATCTGCTCACCAGACCAAGAGGACATACAGCAAGGCAGGCTATGCATGGGCCGGCAGGGGAGATGAATGGATCTCCCATTATGGCCTTTGAGGCCCTCTGGGCTTTTTCTGCAGAATCCACCATCGCCCACCTGAAATCCCAAACCACCCACTAGTGGGCAGTAGGGACCAGGTTAATAACCCCTGGGTTAGACTGACAAAAGGGGTAGCAAGTCTGGACACGATCATTAAGAATGGAATAAGAGGCAAGAGCTTAAGCAAGGAAAGCACTCTCGGGCAGTCCTATGAATGTACAGAGCTGAGACTTTCTGAAGATACGCTCAGCTTTTTGGGAACTTCTCTGTGAGAGAAGTTCATTTTCTCTTTGGTACATCTGACCATGTGTACAAATGTCAGTACCCCTCTGCTACAAGTCACATAGACAACGAGACAAGGAAGCCAACATGGAAACACGGATTGTGTGCATTATTTTCATAAACACACAAAAAAATAAAAAAATAAACAATTTCACCCCAGCAAGGCCAAGCTGGGAAGATTTCCTTTATTTGAGACATTTTAACAAGATATGTCTCAGCAATCTACAGACATCTGGTATACATTTTATACTGCTCTTTATTCTAAAAACTCTGCCAGCTGTTAAATACAGTAATACAGAGAACAAAAATCATCAGAATTAATCAGATACAAACCACTGACACATGCACATGTGGTATGACACAACGTTTTAACTACCCTTCTTTCATGTCATTCTATAGAAAATGAGCCGGAAGGGCTGCTTGAAGCTAGAGATGTTAGTATCAACCTGGGGTGTGAATATTTTTATTATCTGATTGAAACATTGTTTGGATACAAGTGACAAGGTTTTATTTATAAAACGCCCAAAAATGTAACATTGCTGGATACATTTTCTGTACAAAATGCATGCGCCCTGTACACACAGGCAGCCCCCACACACACACGTTGACACACACACACACACACACACACATGTGACACACATTAACACACACTGTTCAGCGATAGGGCGATCATTTTGTGAGGTTTTCTGGACCAGTCTTTGCTACCACGATGCACATTTTCTGCTGTTTTGCTGCACAAATGTCAACAGTTAGGCCATCGGCAGATCATGATGCGCTGCGTATCTTCCTGTCACATGGTGGTAAATCTGCCACAAAAATAACAAGATAATATGTAAGATTAAAGTAAAAAAAAAAACGACAAAAAGGAAAATTACCTGATTTGTAGATTCACAAAAATAACCAAAAACAAACAAATAAAAATGCAGCAGATTTGATTAGAACAAAATGCACCAATTCAGAGCATATTGAAAAATATCTAAACCAACGTCACCATTTGCCATCAGATTCAGACAATGTAAGAATCTAAACAGACTGTAACTGAGCACAATTTAACAAAAAATGCATTAAAACAAAACTAAATAACTAAAAACACCATACGTTTAAAACGTCTGCATATCCTTCAGGATTAGCAGCTGCTGGTGTGAGCTCTGCTGTCTGATCTTTACAGATGCTCTGAGAAGCACAGTCACAAAGTGCTGTTATAGGATAGAAATTCCTCATAGCCCATAGTTATTCGAATCATCCAGAATCTATCTGTGGCACCTTTTCAAACGATAAGAACTTCACAGGTAAATCCCACACTATGGATTTTGACAAGCTGGAATAGTTTTTGCACAAATCTGCTAGAAGACTTAATTTGTGTTTTTTCATTAATGAAACTATATAGTATGCAGCCATAGCTCGTCAATTCCATAGAACTCTATAAAGGATAATTTAAAGAAGTAAGGAGTTTAATTTGCAGGATGCAATTTTCCCCATGACATATGTGAGCGACCCAATATAACAGTTATAATACACTGTGTGCGGGGAGACAGGGGACCTCCTTACACCGTAACCTTATAGCTGCAGTTATAATACACTGTGTGCAGGGAGACAGGGGCCCACCATAACCTTATAGCTGCAGTTATAATACACCGTGTGCGGGGAGACAGAGGACCTCCTTACACCATAACCTTATAGCTGCAGTTATCATACACTGTGTGCAGGGAGACAGGGGACCTCCTTACACCATAACCTTATAGCTGCAGTTATAATACACTGTGTGCGGGGAGACAGGGGACCTCCTTACACCATAACCTTATAGCTGCAGTTATAATACACTGTGTGCGGGGAGACAGGGGACCTCCTTACACCATAACCTTATAGCTGCAGTTATAATACACTGTGTGCAGGGGAGACAGGGGACCTCCTTACACCATAACCTTATAGCTGCAGTTATAATACACTGTGTGCAGGGAGACAGGGGACTTCCTTACACCATAACCTTATAGCTGCAGTTATAATACACTGTGTGCGGGGAGACAGGGGACCTCCTTACACCATAACCTTATAGCTGCAGTTATAATACACTGTGTGCGGGGAGACAGGGGACCTCCTTACACCATAACCTTATAGCTGCAGTTATAATACACTGTGTGCGGGGAGACAGGGGACCTCCTTACACCATAACCTTATAGCTGCAGTTATAATACACTGTGTGCGGGGAGACAGGGGACCTCCTTACACCATAACCTTATAGCTGCAGTTATAATACACTGTGTGCGGGGAGACAGGGGGCCTCCTTACACCATAACCTTATAGCTGCAGTTATAACACACTGTGTGCAGGGAGACAGGGGACCTCCTTACACCATAACCTTATAGCTGCAGTTATAATACACTGTGTGCGGGGAGACAGGGGACCTCCTTACACCATAACCTTATAGATGCAGTTATAATACACTGTGTGCGGGGAGACAGGGGACCTCCTTACACCATAACTTATAGCTGCAGTTATAATACACTGTGTGCGGGGAGACAGGGGACCTCCTTACACCATAACCTTATAGCTGCAGTTATAATACACTGTGTGCGGAGAGACAGGGGACCTCCTTACACCATAACCTTATAGCTGCAGTTATAATACACTGTGTGCGGGGAGACAGGGGACCTCCTTACACCATAACCTTATAGCTGCAGTTATAATACACTGTGTGCGGGGAGACAGGGGACCTCCTTACACCATAACCTTATAGCTGCAGTTATAATACACTGTGTGCGGGGAGACAGGGGACCTCCTTACACCATAACCTTATAGCTGCAGTTATAATACACTGTGTGCGGGAGACAGGGGACCTCCTTACACCATAACCTTATAGCTGCAGTTATAATACACTGTGTGCGGGGAGACAGGGGACCTCCTTACACCATAACCTTATAGCTGCAGTTATAATACACTGTGTGCGGGGAGACAGAGGACCTCCTTACACCATAACCTTATAGCTGCAGTTATAATACAATGTGCGCGGGGAGACAGGAGGCCTCCTTACACTATAACTTTATAGCTGTAGTTATAATACACTGTGTGGGGAGACGGTGGACCTCCTTACACCATAACCTTATAGCTGCAGTTATAATACACTGTGTGCGGGGAGACAGGGGAGCTCCTTACACCATAACCTTATAGCTGCAGTTATAATACACTGTGTGCGGCGAGACAGGGGACCTCTGTGATGAACTGAACCTCAGAACAACAGAGCTGCAGTTATAATAATATACAGTGGTGGAAAAATGAGCAATTACGTTTTTAATTCACTACAAACAAGTGTAACAAATATTGTTAAATAAAGCCCAAGGAGAATGATAAATTCAGAGACAGATCTTATTCTAACCTGTCTCTCAATGTCTCCCAATAAAGTGCTAGCTCCTATGCGAAAAAGCGCTGGGCTCAACCATTCGTCACCCAGCTCTTCCTTGATAAGGGAGAGCCAGACCAGAGCTTCCTTTGCAGAACGAATCCCTCCGGCTGGTTTAAACCCAACCTAGACACAGGAAAAGAGACAAAGAGCAAGGGGTTAACAATAAACCAGTGACAGATTCAGAATTAAGACATTATAGATTGAGTCAGAGTTATTTACTAAAGTGAGAATTGTTAGAATTAAAAGTGAATTTCAAACGACAAATGTAGCCAACCTAAAATAATTCTTCAAACCAGATATGCTTCCATTTTGGCAATTTTGGCCAGGTAACAACCCTGGAGGTTGGTTTGACTTAACGGAACATGGGATATTTCATGATTACATTTGAGGAGTATTTCATCTATTGGCTATTACTGGAGTTTGGTTTCTAGATCATCTTTCGGTTCCGGTCTGGCCGTCATTAATCAACGCCATCAGGTTAGAACCATCTCTGTGTGACATTATGATACAGAGTCCTGTATTGTTAAGGTTCTCAAATACAAGATACACCTAAAAAACAGAGGCAAAAAGAAATTCATAGAGCAACACCATACAATAAGGAAGTGGCCCCTTGGTAGTAATATTGCACTCACAGAATGTACGAATTGTTCAAGCCCATCAGTATCTCTTTAAATATTCAGAAGAAGTGAGCAGTAAGAATGCTCATCAATAAATCACTGAGTCCTCTACTCCCAGGTGGTACAAAGGTAGACGATGAATATCCATAAAAAAGCTCACCGCGTTTCGTCTACTTCAGTGTAGACTTCCTCAGGAGAAAATAGTAAAAAAACAGGTACAGCATAAAAAATCATACATCATAAACTCTCAAATGTCAGTAATGGCTTTTAAATATCCCCCACTTCTGATCTTCGTTCGTTCCGCCAATCAATTGCACTGGGATCATCTGTTTCCCATTCTTCTATCAGTCCATGCCCTTATTTGGACTTCCGTTCCTCTTCGTGGAACGCATATGCGTTCCACCTCTCGGCGGCTCAGGAGGACGTCATCCGTCTGCGCGTGGAACGCATATGCGTTCCATTTCGCCAGTTCCGTCGATCGGGAACAATATAAGGGTCAGATACAACAAGGCATACATGATTAGATTCAGCAAAGTTCACCAGTAAAAGTTATATTTATAACAATAAACCCAATATCACAAAGTATCAGAAGAAAACAAAAAAGGATATGTATACATAGATGTCATCTAAGTTAACTCCTCCAAAGGGGGTGATTCTGGAAAATACAAACCTATAATATAAATATGCTAATGAAATGAAAAAAATGAGAAAAAATAGAATGAAAATGAAATAATGTAAATAAAAATAAATGAAAATAAAGAAAATAAATAAAAAATAATAAAAATAAAAATGAAAATGAATATAAATATTTAAAAAAATAATTAATAATAAATAATAAAAATATATATTTTTTTATTTATTAATTATTTTTTTTTATATTTATATTCATTTTTATTTTTATATTCTTTTATTTTTTTTTATTATTTTCTTTATTTTCATTTATTTTTATTTACATTATTTCATTTTCATTCTATTTTTTCTCATTTTTTTCATTTCATTAGCATATTTATATTATAGGTTTGTATTTTCCAGAATCACCCCCTTTGGAGGAGTTAACTTAGATGACATCTATGTATACATATCCTTTTTTGTTTTCTTCTGATACTTTGTGATATTGGGTTTATTGTTATAAATATAACTTTTACTGGTGAACTTTGCTGAATCTAATCATGTATGCCTTGTTGTATCTGACCCTTATATTGTTCCCGATCGACGGAACTGGCGAAATGGAACGCATATGCGTTCCACGCGCAGACGGATGACGTCCTCCTGAGCCGCCGAGAGGTGGAACGCATATGCGTTCCACGAAGAGGAACGGAAGTCCAAATAAGGGCATGGACTGATAGAAGAATGGGAAACAGATGATCCCAGTGCAATTGATTGGCGGAACGAATGAAGATCAGAAGTGGGGGATATTTAAAAGCCACTACTGGCATTTGAGAGTTTTTGATGTATGATTTTTTATGCTGTACCTGTTTTTTTACGATTTTCTCCTGAGGAAGTCTACACTGAAGTAGACGAAACGCGTTGAGCTTTTTTATGGATATTCATCGTCTACCTTTGTACCACCTGGGAGTAGAGGACTCAGTGATTTATTGATGAGCATTCTTACTGCTCACTTCTTCTGAATATTTAAAGAGATACTGATGGGCTTGAACAATTCGTACATTCTGTGAGTGCAATATTACTACCAAGGGGCCACTTCCTTATTGTATGGTGTTGCTCTATGAATTTCTTTTTGCCTCTGTTTTTTAGGTGTATCTTGTATTTGATATTAGTATTTGAGGATTTTGAGGAATCCTGTGTTACAACCTAATATATAAGGGAAGTAATAACCTTTATTCTTTACTCCTATTGCTGCACCTGGGTGGTCTACACACATATATTGTTATAGGTTCTAGCTCAGGGCTTGTCCACCTTCCCCAATCCAAATGATGTGGACTACATCTCCCACAGTACTCTTACAGACACCATGCTGGCAAAGCATCTGGAGTGCCAAAGGCTGCATACTGATGTAACTAGCTTAAAGACAAATTAAACATTTTCCAAAATTGATGAAGGAAAAAAGAAATGTTATTAGAAATGCCATAACAGCAAGGAAACCACGGACAGTAACGTGGACAGACCTGGTACACACACTCTGAACAGAGAGCAGCTACGTCTCAATACGTCCTATTAGCGGGAAATTCCTTTTGTACAAACCTTAAAAGGGACCCTCCAGACATCAACACGACTTAAGTTCATTCAATGAGAATTTGGTCTCATATACAAGCTGTATTTTTCTCCACTTTTACATTTCTTTGAAGACATAACCGACTCCATAGCCTTACCTCTCCTTTTCAGAAGACATCTTTCCGATTAAAAGTTGTTCGGGTACACACTCAGCTCAACCAATAAGTGTGAGCTCAGCTGCTGACCTGACTCCACTCTACAGCCAATTACTGTCCTCTTTCCTAATAGAACATAACTGAAACACTGCATATTATATCCTAGAACGTAATAAGACAGTGATTGGCTACAGGACACTGCCTACCTTCCAGTCAGGAGAGGCGGATTGTGGGAAAATATATTGTGTTAGTCAAAACAACAGCTACATTTAGAGAAACTGAGATTTACAAGATACACATATTAAAAAGGATAAAGTAAGAATTAAAAAGCAAGAGGAATTGTAGCTAAATCAGTGAAATCTGCCTTTTTTTTTACATATTTCAATTACCTTGATCCCGGTTTTCCTATAGAAATCCCGGATTGCGCGGACCATCACCAGAGCTACAGGATATGTGGCATTTACCGATTCTTTTCCTGTTGAGGTCTTTATAAAATCTGAGCCTGAAACCGAATGAAATGTAATATGACCGATTATGTTGCACTCCTAACAGAATAGTACCTCTCTCCGCAGTGATTCAGAAAGCAATTTACAATTCTACAACGGGGATGAAGAGGGTCCAGTATATGGTGAGAAACACACCACATTGTGCATAGGTGTAATAACCGAGACACCCAGGTAAATCATACACATCTCATGAAAAAATTGTCTACAGGGAACACTCATGCACTCAGAGACTCCAGGACTAATTCATTTAAAAATATCATATACCTGGGGGGACAGAAAGGCTTTTCGAAGGACCCTAATTGCAAGTCTCTCCGGTACAGTTTCATTAAACAACAGCTGCCCCTGTATATGGTCTTCTAATCAATTTGGCCAAACAGAATGACTTTTAATCAGTTGTTGATAAAAATAGAAAATGAAATTTTAATTCTAATAGATTAACCACAAACTGAAGACAGTCTCGTCCCTATTCTCCAGTGGATTTAATGACTATTCAGCAAGTCATTACTAAATAGAACAAGGGGAACATTTTCCAGTTCATTAAAGAAATGTACTATGTATTTCTGCATTGTCCTCATGATTCGTTACAGGGAGTCTTAATTACAAGATAATGGATAATGGTTATTAAACGCAGACTGCTATAATGAAGCTCTATTCATTTGTGAGCCTCAGAGACTAAAAGAGGGCAAAATAAAATTGCTGCCTTCAAAAGATTAACGGATCAAATTATTATTCAATTCGGAAAATCTTTTTAGACTTTGTGGTAACGAGAGGAGATTAAAAACTTTCATTAAGACCCAAGTAGTACATTTATTTTTAAGAAATATATTAAAAGGTATTACTAGAATAAATAGTGTAAATTGCACTGATTAGTACAGCAGAGCTATAATAATATTAAACTGCGGGAATAATGTGGTTCAGGGGCTATATATTCGTCCGTTTCATAAAGCAATGTTTGGAGACAGTGAGAAGGAAACAAAACACGTTATGCAATAGCGTGACGTCAAAAACTGGGGTTTCAGTGTTTCCCAGAATTCAGCTGACAGATCGTCATTTGCCAGGGTTACGGTTTAGCCATTTCACATGGTTTAAATGTCTTTGTTTCACAATCGGTTGTACATGGCAGCATTACTCCTGGTTGTATTCCCTCCCAGCAGATTGGACATGATGAAAACCTGCTTTTTATTTAGCACTCCTGCTCCTTTTTCTTACCGTCTCAGCATATCAGGACGCACATTTAGAGATTACTTATTATTTTGCTTCACATTGCTGCATTCACACTGGCCAAACGTTACCGCGATACGAGAAGCTGGGAAGTTACCAGGATACAGAGCGATGCAGGTTATCTAGCTGCCACGGTACGAGAAGTTGGGAAGTTACTGTGATACAGTGAGATGCAGGTTATTTGGCTGTCGCGGTACGAGAAGCTGGGAAGTTACCAGAATACAGCGCGATGCAGGATATTTAGCTGCGCCGATATGAGTAGCTGGGAAGTTACCGGGCTACAGAGCGATACAGGTTATTTAGCTGCTGAGATACGAGAAGCTGGGAAGTTACTGTGATACAGCGGGATGCGGGTTATTTAGCTGCAGCGATACGAGAAGCTGGGAAGTTACCGTGATACAGAGCGATGCAGGTTATTTAGCTGCCGCTATACGAGAAGCTGGGAAGTTACCGTGATACAGCTGGGATGCGGGTTATATAGTTGCCGCGATACAAGAAGCTGGGAAGTTACTGTGATACAGAGCGATGCGGGTTATTTCACTGCCGCGATACGAGAAGCTGGGAAGTTACCATGATACAGCGAGATGCAGATTATTTAGCTGGCAGGATACGAGAAGCTGGGAAGTTATCGTGATACAGAGCGAATCAGGTTATTTAGCTGCCGCGATATGAGAAGCTGGGAAGTTACAGGAATACAGAGCGATGCAGGTTATTTAGCTGCTGCGAAAGAGAAGCAGGGAAGTTACCAGGATACAAAGCGATGCGGGATATTTAGCAGCCACGATATAAGAAGCTGGGAAGTTACCGAGATACAGCCAGATGCAGGTTATTTAGCTGCTGCGGTACGAAAAGCTGGGAAGTTACCGTGATACAGAGCGATGCAGGTTATTTAGCTGCCGCTATACGAGAAGCTGGGAAGTTACTGGGATACAAAGCAATTAGCTGCTACAATATGAGAAGCTGGGAAGTTACCGGGATACAGAGAGATGCATGTTATTTAGCTGCCGCAGTACGAGAAGCTGTGAAGTTACCGTGATACAGAGCGATGCAGGTTATTTAGCTGCTGCGAAAGAGTAGCTGGGAAGTTACTGGGATACAAAGTGATGCAGATTATTTAGCTGCCACAATACGAGAAGCTGGGAAGTTACTGGGATACAGAGTGATGCGAGAAGCTGGGTAGTTACCATGATACAGCGCGATGCAGGATATTTAGCTGACAGAATACCAGAAGTTGGGAATTTACTGGGATACAAAGCGATGCAGATTATTTAGCTGCCACAATACGAGAAGCTGGGAAGTTACCAGGATACAGAGTGATGCGAGAAGCTGGGAAGTTACCGGGATACAGAGAAATGCGGGTTATTAAGCTGCCGTGAAACGAGAAGCTGGGAAGTTACCGTGATACAGCGCAATGCAGGTTATTTAGCTGCCGTGATACGAGAAGCTGGGAAGTTACCGGGATACAGAGCAATGCAGGTTATTTAGCTGGCGTGACATGAGAAGCTGGGTAGTTACCATGATACAGCGCGATGCAGGATATTTAGCTGCCAGAATACAAGAAGCTGGGAAGTTACCAGGATACAAAGCGATGCTGGTTATTTAGCTGGCGTGATATGAGAAGCTGGGTAGTTACCGGGATACAGAGCAATGCGGGTTATTTAGCTGGCGTGATATGAGAAGCTGGGTAGTTACCATGATACAGCGCGATGCAGGATATTTAGCTGCCAGAATACGAGAAGCTGGGAAGTTACCGTGATACAGCGCAATGCAGGTTATTTAGCTGCAGCGATACGAGAAGCTGAGAAGTTACCGGGATACAGAGCGATGCAAGTTATTTAGCTGGCGTGATACGAGAGGCAGGGAAGTTACCGTGATACAGAGTGATGCAGGTTATTTAGCTGCCGTGATACGAGAAGCTGGAAAGTTACCGGGATACAGAGCAATTCGGGTTATTTAGCTGCCGTGATACGAGAAGCTGGGAAGTTACCGTGATACAGCGCAATGCAGGTTATTTAGCTGCAGCGATACGAGAAGCTGAGAAGTTACCGGGATACAGAGCGATGCAAGTTATTTAGCTGGCGTGATACGAGAGGCAGGGAAGTTACCGTGATACAGAGTGATGCAGGTTATTTAGCTGCCGTGATACGAGAAGCTGGGAAGTTACTGGGATACAGAGAAATGCGGGTTATTTAGCTGCCGTGATACGAGAAGCTGGGAAGTTACCGTGATACAGCGCAATGCAGGTTATTTAGCTGCAGCGATACGAGAAGCTGAGAAGTTACCGGGATACAGAGCGATGCAAGTTATTTAGCTGGCATGATACGAGAGGCAGGGAAGTTACCGTGATACAGAGTGATGCAGGTTATTTAGCTGCCGTGATACGAGAAGCTGGGAAGTTACCGGGATACAGAGCAATGCGGGCTGTTTAGCTGGCGTGATATGAGAAGCTGGGTAGTTACCATGATACAGCGCGATGCAGGATATTTAGCTACCAGAATACAAGAAGCTGGGAAGTTACCGGGATACAAAGCGATGCAGATTATTTAGCTGCCACAATACGAAAAGCCAGTTACTGGGATACAGCACGATGCAGTTTATTTAGCTGCCAGAATATGAGAAGCTGCAAAGTTACCGTGATACAGTGCGATGCAGGTTATTTCGCTGCCACGATACGAGAAGCTGAGAAGTTACCGGGATACAGAGCGATGCAAGTTATTTAGCTGACGCAATACGAGAGGCTGGGAAATTACCGTGATACAGATCGATGCAGGTTATTTATCTGCCGCGATACGAGAAGCTGGGTAGTTACCATGATACAGCGCGATGCAGGATATTTAGCTAACAGAATACCAGAAGTTGGGAATTTACCGGGATACAAAGCGATGCAGATTATTTAGCTGCCACAATACGAGAAGCTGGGAAGTTACCGGGATAAAGAGTGATGCGAGAAGCTGGGAAGTTACCGGGATACAGAGAAATGCGGGTTATTTAGCTGCCGTGAAACGAGAAGCTGGGAAGTTACCGTGATACAGCGCAATGTAGGTTATTTAGCTGCAGCGATACGAGAAGCGGGGTTATCACAGCAGGGTGCGGGGTTATCATACAGCAGGGTGCGGGGTTATCATACAGCAGGGTGAAGGGTTATCACAGCAGGGTGCACGGTTATCACAGCTCCCCTTGGCATCAGTGGCAGAATGCCTGGTACCCTGAATGGCTTCCTAGTTATCACTGAGTACTATAAGCACTTTGCCGAGACACCATAAGCACTTCCAGCCCCTAGTCGCTGCAGCTTGGCTGGGCTCTCGCCGCCTCTTCCCACCCTGGACCCAAGCCCTGGATCCAGCTTCCAGTGGTACTCTCCTGAAGAGAGTATAGCAAGCAAATAGAGCAGTATAGCTGTTTCCCCTCACACATTAGCCGAGACTTAACGCTGGGAGTAAACTCTCTTTATTCAGGGTCACACACGGCCTTTTTATGCAAAGTCCCCTGCAAGTGGTTTCAAACACAAACATACAAGGTCTTTTCTCTCAAGATCCTCTGTGCCTGAGAGATAATTCCGTGAGGAAACCTCTTTAATTTAATTATCTCTCAGGTACAGGAAAATTTACAATAGTTCCAAACACCCCATCAACACATTTTAAGAGCCCAAGATTACAACCCACGTTCCTCTTTGAAGCTGGGATCCCAACTGAGCCACTCTGCCAGGTGTGAGAGGTCACACACAAGTGGCCTGGAAGTCTGGCTTCAGCACAAACTAACTCTCATTTGCCATATGTCTTGATTGTCTCTTAGATAGGAAGTCCTTTGATATGTTAATTGTTACGGTTGCCTCAGGCTAGCTGAGGGTTGGACCGTAGAAAGGATTCTCCTAGCGTTCACCAAGGACCATCAGCACCGCACCAGACACCATAAGCACTACAGATCCTACGAACCGCCGCAGCTTGGTTGGGGTCTCGCCATCTACCCACCCTGGACCTACGACAAGGCTCTAGGTTCCTGTGGGTGAACCTCTCTTTGTTCTGACAGTGAAGCAGGAACAGGAACAAGCTCTTACAAGAGCTCAGTGAAGCTAAGGGAGTATGAAGAGCATATCCATCCCTGTAGCGATTATAGCTGTCCCCTCCAAACACGAGTCGAAGATGCGAGTTGAGGGTCAAGTAGAACTGGTTTAATGAGCACAAAGGCATTTCTTTTATACACATTTTCAGGCCAGAGGCACACTCCTGGACCTGATGGAACATAAACCAATCAAAACAAAGTGCATTTTTCTACACCCTCCCCTCTACCCTGGAGATAATTTGCTTAAGTGGCTGTGGTAACTTAATTATCTCCAGGTACAGAAAATATCTCTAAGTCAAAAACTGTAACAAAAACCACATAAAAATACATAACTCATATTATACATAATTCAACTGCCATGTTCAACCTATCCCCAGATAGCTTGGATTTGAGCGCTCAATATATCCGAAAAGCGCTCAGATCTCTCGAATACAGTTGGATCGCCATGGGGTTATAATTTTCTCAATGGCCGTTTGGCAGAAGTTAACCCAGGACTAGTTCCACAATTGTTAGTCCTAGGGTAGGTCTAGCTTTGGGAGTATGAAAGTACCGAACGGAGCTGAGTTCATATGATTATACACGAACGGATGGAAGTCTGGAGGTCTTCGGCAGTTTAAAATGGCCGCCGCCACGTGTTCGTTCATACGAACGACGACCACCCAGCCGTTCATCAATTAAGCTGCGGTTAACCACAGCTTCTGGGTGGTTAACAAGCAGCACGCTCCACATGCAGGGTGGTCTGTCGTTCGGCAGTTTGTTCGTCTGTTTGAATAGCATTAGCCTGGCTGTAATAGCAGTTTAATTCACCGAACCAATCCACAAATTCCTACGGTAGAATATAAAATCCAAGCACTGCAGGCAAACGATGCACTCCAGGGACAGAGGGTTCTGTCCCAAGTGTCTTAAGACCCAATAAATTATAAGGGCCATAATCACAGGGCAGGAGGCTGGCAATCAGGCCCCTCCAAAAGCCACTGGCGAAGGGTAGTTGTTCACATTAATGATCATTACCTTTCAAGAACAAAAAGAAACCCTTGTGTTTCAATATCATATCCAAAAGAGACACTAACACTTACCCACAGATCAATACTCAAGCCTCATTTTTATAATATTTAGAATGGGACAAGCATAATCTTCCAATCAAGCCCAAACATTATATGCGAACAAGGGGAGATCCCCAGCATGATGACCTGAAAACAATAAGCAGGCAAGCAAGTGGGCACATGTGGGCATCCCAGGGGGCTCCTTATATAACCAGCAGACATTTTTTGTGCTCTGCTAAACTGTCCGGATCTAGCCATGGCTTCCCGGGGAGGTTGCTTACCAACTTTGTGTAAGTGACTTCGGATGTGGAGGCATTACCCTTCCTTTAGAGGGCATTTTCCTGCACCTGGCTCTGTACGTCCCTTTTTCATGCTTTCCTGCCAGTTACCAAAGTCCTCAATTAAAATATTGCTCTGCCTTTCATGTTAAGTGGAGTCAAGGAGGCATTTCTTGGATTTATTGTGTTGCTGATCAGTTTATCTGCAGAGGACGAGGTCTGTTAATGCTCCATCTTCCTCTGCTCTAAGCCAAAGAATGTTTGCAGCCATTATTCGAGCACACCAGCATCGGACATCCCATTACCCAATGTTCTCAAAGCTCGGAGGGAGTTTTCTTCATCATGAGAAGCTAAAGTGAAAGATTCTGTGACTCACATCTGTAGGGACACTACCTGGTCCTCTCCTCCAGACCAACATTGGATGTAGCAGCTCACATCACCTTGGAAGCTTCAGTTGGTCACCAGGTCTCAGTTCTGTTTCCATTAAATTGCTAATTTAGTTACATTTTAGCCTTGGGTGTTGTGTGTTTTTTGTATTCTATTTTTATTATAGTATAAAACAAAATGTATGTTTAAAATTTCCACTAGCCAGTTCTTAAAAAGCCAGAAGGGTTCATGGCACACTTACTAGGGGTGAAGGTCTACTCTACAGAGCTACATTTTCAGTCACCAATGGCCAGTAGCCTCAGGAAATTATGAGCCCTGATCACAAGTAGAACAGGGAAATGGAAAAGAATATTGAATGGAGAGGGGTACAGGAAGAAGTGGCTAAATATAGGAGAGGGGATGTAGAGAGTGCGGGATAGAGTGAGATAGGGAACAGAATACAGAAAGTCAGACAGTCCTGTAAATGTGAAGAAAGAGGGCGCAGTGCTCGATTCTTTAATTCGGGTTGCAGCTTTGAAGCTAAATTCTATAATTAAAAAAAAAATGGTCCATTCAGAGATATAAATCCCAAAGGCAAATTGGTAGGTTCTCATACAGTTGCAAGCATAAAGGGATTACTATTTAAGTGCCATATGAGTGATGAAATAAGAAATATTGACCTTGTAAGATATTATGCAAAGACTATCACAGAGACAAGACTGCAACACATGAAATGTTAAATAGGGTCCAGCTAAGGAGCAACAGAGACACCTAGTGGGGAAAAAACAAACCATAATCATATTTGAATTAAATACAAATCCAGCCATATTTCTAATGTGGGGGTGAATGAGACAGCCGTGGGGCCATTTGGACTTGAACCCATTCTCTTAATTAAAAACAAAAAGAACTGGGGAAGAGCCAATACTGGGTACACTAGGACACGGGGGGTAACCCCAAGTAGAAAACTAACAAGCTAAAGAAGTGTACCAATAGGGACTGGGATGAATGAAATATACTCAATTGTGAATGCCAGATATCCACAAAATGGTTTCCAGATGTGGAACTAGATCAAAACGAAAGATATATAAAATAAAATAAATACATTGTATTAAGTTAAATAACAATAAATATAAAAGTGTGTGAATAGGTGCTCATGTACAAAACGGTGAAGAGAGTAATAAATATTGAACCAGTAAGATAACTGAAAAATTCCTATTGCCACTGAAATACCATTAGTCTAAGTGGCTCTGATAGGCTAATTATAGCGGTATATAGAAATCATGGCAATGGATAGTAGTGATAAACTGGTACAGGAAATTAGATCAGAGACATTTGTTCTCACATAAATCCTAGGATGGATCTAGATATATAGCTGATCTGTATAGCTTAACTTGACTGCGAAGGTGTAGAGTGAATATCAATATATATAAAATAGGTGAGGGTAGATACTGGTCTGACGAAAAACAGGATAACGGTATGCTGCAGAGCCAGCCTAATAAAGGTATAGGTCTGCACACGTCTGTGTCTGGATGCTAAACTTTGTCAGAATAGAATCTCACTCTACTCTTAAATGCCTCTGATGACCAGGGAAATGGTCAAATCATTTAAATATACGCAAGTGAGATGAGAAGGAAAGCATACCGTAGCTCATAACACCCAAGTACTAACACCCCCTCCCGAGACCCAGGATAGGGGAGTAGTGTCTATGTAAGGTGGGTGAATAACATGAGGTATTTCTTCCTAGCAACAGCAACAGCAAATCAGCATCCTCTTTCTGCACATCATACACAGATATGGTAACTCTGGACTCTGAAGCAGAGAATGAACGCCAATGGTGGCTTCTTCACATGGAAGCTTGGAATAAGCACACCATATTTTGTACAGCTCCAGATTTGATAATCAAATCCGACGCAGGTTTGCACAGTTGGGGTGCTCAATGCAGAACTATTTCCACCAAGGGCAGATAATCAAACCTGGAATCAACACTCCACATCAATTGTTTGGAACACCCGGTTCCTTTGCAGTCCATAGTTTCTCCCCAACTCAAGCCCAATGCGCTATCCTTCTGAAGATGGACAACGTGTCAGCAGTCCGCTACATCAATCACTTGGAGGCACAAAATACAAAATTCTGACCTACATGCCTCGTGATTGCTGGCAATTTTGCCTGAGACACGGCATTTCAGTCACGGCAGAATATATTCAAGGTCTCTCCAACACTACGACGGACTGGTATTCACGCCAACTCGGAGATTCCAGCGACTGGCACTTGGATTCCATGGTCTTCCAAGACATCTGGAACCTATGGGGTCTATTGTAAATAGATCTTTTCGCTTCTCGTTTGAATGCTCAACTTCCCCGTTTTTTCAGTTGGAGACCAGATCCGATAGCATTGGCTATGAATGTTTTCTCCAAGGAATTATGATTTTTTGCCTTTCCATCTACATCGCCAGTCCGGCACCTGTTGATCGTGGCTCCTCTATCGCCATCCCAACCATAGTTCTCTTTTCTTCAGGAGATGGTTATCGACCTTCCATCTCTCGAGTGCCTTCTTCAGGATCCAGATGGTGTACCTCATCCTCTTGTTCTCCAAGGTCTCTTGCATCTCATAGTGTAGTCTATTTCAGGGAACCTTGGTCGGTCAAGGGAGTTTCGCAATCAACTCCCCAACTTATCAAGGGTGCACCCAACACGAGACAGGCTTATAAATCTGCTTGGAGCAGATGGCATAGTTGGTGCATGAAAATAAATTTAAATCCCATATCGGCTCCTTTTATGTCTGTCCTCCATTTTTCGGACTTCTATGATGAAGGTAAAGCCTATCGCACTGTGGACCTTAACGATCGTCCATTTCTGCTGGCCATCAAAGTTTTGATTGGACGCCTGTCGGTTGACATCCAGTTAGCTAGGTGGCTAAATGGCTGTTGGTATGAAGTGATCTTGACCTCTCAGGGTAAGTGGGACTCCGAGTCGCAGATAGACAGAGCCCAGCTCCCAGACAGTGCAGAGAAAATCTCCCACCGATCGCTGCCTAGTGCTAAACTGCTTCCCTCCGTGCCTTCGAGGGCACGTGTCACTAGATCCCGCTAGGCTATAACGACCTAATAACTGCAGGCTAAAGTAAACAAAAGGAAAGTAAATTTAAAAATTATAATAAATAGTAAAAGCAATTGCACGGTAGCAATTCCGTGTGCTAGTTCAAAGTCATAGGAACAGCATAACTAGGACCCCTTGACGCGCGCGTTTCGCCCGACCTGGCTCATCAGGTACAGAGCACTTAATTGAAATAGGAGAAGTCCTCTCATTGGTTCAGTGTGAAGGTTACTGATTGGTAAGTTTACAATACGTATATATATTGTGACGTAGTGAGGTAGTATTACCTCAGGAGGGGAGTCACCTGTGTTAGAAAAAAATTAACCCGTTCCTGGGTGTATCAAGGAGTTAGAAAACATATTAACTTAGAGTCAATATGTAACTTGTATAAGTAACGTTAATGAAGCTTAAGTGGGAATGCTTCCATTTATGAAATAACCGGATTAACTAGTAATCAGTAGAAAACTACATTTCTTATTATTATGGTATTTACTAGTATGAGTAAAAAGAAGGAGAGAATGGAATCTCTATGAGCTTAACGGTATTTAACTAAGTTTTGGAGAAAGTTAGAGGGATTAGAAACTTCTTTGCCACGTACGGAAATGTAGTAGCTAATAAAAGAGATAAATTTCTCTCTCAAATTAAGCACCCATATTAAATTCTCATAGAATGATTAAAAAGGTGCAGACATGTATGTGAGCTAAGATACTGGAAACTTAAAGCAGATTGTGAAAATGATCAGGTTTGGAAAGTCTGTAAACTAAATATGAAGAAATCGTATTTTCCCTTTGATCTTCCGTGCATTGATTTTCCGGTACTGTTTATGTGATTATTTTTAGTAGCAACATAGTGAGCACATCAAGAGATACCATTTATCTCCCAAATGTGGTGCACTTATTGTATTCTCGTAAAATAGTTCTATAAATGAAAGTAAACAGAATACAACCCTATATGTGTGCTAAGATGCTAATGACTTATAGAGCAACTAAATTATAATACCTTATGTCTGGAAAGTAGAACTGATTAATAATATAACAATAATCAGGGTTTACAAAGCCTGTGAAATGGATATGAAAGTGTTTTGCAATAGCGTCCGTGCGTTGAGCTTCTTTACTATTTTTTCTATTTCCCGCACTGTATATGTACTATTGCCAAAACGAAAGTCAAGATATGGAAACAGTGTGTAAAATATGGTATGAAAGGTGCTACAAGATGATCTTCAAAGCATTAATCATTTCGGCATAGTTTGGGAAACCTGTGAGATGGGTATGAAGCGACCTCTGCAACCTTTGGAAGCCTGTGGGATGGGTATGAAAGGAAAGTAACCAACACTGGTCTTAGATCATTGATTATTTTGACATATTTCTGTTATTGCTCATTAATAACCATTTTGATCAAACATTCTGGGTGTAATCCCTATCTATTGTATGGTTGCAGCTCCTTATTATTGCAACAACCCTATAAATGGGCAAAAGGGTTTATTAATGTTGAAACTCACTAACTTGGGTAACAGAAAACGGTGGCATTTTTAAGCATAACACTGGGTGGTAATAGTCTATGATTTCTTAATAACTGAAATTAAAGTGTGATATCATCCATTTGGTGAAGAGAGCCTTCCTCATATGTTTCATTTATGTATAAAGGAAGTGAAATTGAACTCTACGTTAAGACCATCTGGTGTGAGGGTTTTAAGATGGTAAATCCATCTGGATTCTTTCATCAAAAGTATTTTATTACAGTTCCCTTTTCTGGTGTTCATGGTTATTTTCTCTAAGGCCTGAAATGTCAGGTGTGCAGGGTCGCCTTGATGGTAGTTTCTGACGTGGTTGGAGACTGGAGTAGCTACGTTGGGGTTTGTGACAGAGCAAATGTGTTGAAGGATTCTGCACCTCAATTGTTGGTACATTTTACCTACATATTGGATGCCACAACTGCATATTATTAGGTATATCACCCGTGTGGAGCTGCAGTTAATAAACGCCTTGATCTTATATTCTTTTTTTGTTTTAGAGTATATGGCACTTTAAGTGCGTCTAATATCTTGGCAGACTTTGCAATGTCCACATCGGTAAATGCCGGTGGTTTGTGTTAACCAGATGGATTGAGCTTTTTTTGTTGGTTCCGTATGGCTGTGGACAAGATAATCTCTAAGATTTTTAGCTCTGGTGAATTTGGGGGAAATTGCCAATATCTTCATGCAAATCGGTGTCATGTTGTAAAATAGGCCAGTTGTGAGACATGATTTTTTGCACTGAGTCCCAGTACTGGTCAAATGTGCTCACACAGCAAATTATCTTTGTTTCTGCCTTAGGTCTGATGGTTCTTAGGCTTTTGCTTCTATTTGTTGACATTGCTCGTTAGTAAGCGCTTTTTAAGCTACGGTGTATGTTCAAACAGAAAGGGTACCCCAATAAAATCTTAAAAAGCGCTTACCAACGAGCAATGTCAACAAATAGAAACAAAAGCCTAAGAACCATCAGACCTAAGGCAGAAACAAAGATAATTTGCTGTGTGAGCACATTTGACCAGTACTGGGACTCAGTGCAAAAAATCAAGTCCCACAACTGGCCTATTTTACAGGGTGTTACAGGGAGTGGAGACAACCGGTCTCAGTCCTCAGCGGCAGTGTGTATTCCAGGGAGAGAAATGTGTCACTCTGCCTCCTCAGCGGCAGTCTGAGGTCCAGGGAACAGAGACACTCGGTCTTGTTCCCCAGCGGCAGTGTATTCTACAGGGAGTGGAGTGTGTCGTCCTTCCTCCCCAGCGACAGTGTGTGTTATTGGGAGTGAAGATGGTCGGTCTCACTCCCCAGCGGCAGAGAGAGTTACAGGGAGAGGAGAGTATCGTCCTCCATCCCCAGCGGCAGGGTGAGTTACAGGGAGTGGAGACGGTTGGTCTGTCTCCCCAGCGGCAGTGTGCTTTCCACGGAGAGTAGTGTGTCATCCTTCCTCCCCAGCGGCAACATGTGTTATTGGGAGAAGAGACCGAACACCGCTGGAATTCCATCATCGCCTGCATTCAGGGGCGGACTGAGAACCCTCAGGGCCCCCGGGCAAAATAAATCAAGGGCCCCCTTACAGGCCCCACCCATACTCTGCAGCAAGCGCCACCCTTGTCCCGCCTCCATGCACCGCCTCCAGCCACACCCTACACAATCTTTAGACACAAGGAACAAAAGGGCAATAAGCCCTTCGAGGCCCCAGCAGAGACTACAATTGAGGGCTAATGGGCCATGGAGGGGGGTCTTTCTAGCGGGGGCTATCTCAGTGTCCTTTAGAGAGTGTGTTAGAAAGAATCCCCTCCAGGCCCCATTAGAGACTACAATGGAGTCTAATGGGGCCTGGAGGGTGGTCTCTCCAACACTCTGGTTTCTATTCACAATATAGCAACACAACATAGCTCGCTGATACCTAGGCCAAGTTGGCTCCTCTTACCTTAATTACTGTTGCTGGCTGGCAGTCTGTGGGCTTGCTTGCTGCGGCTGGCAGGCTGTGGGCTTGCTGGCTACTGCCGGCAGGCTGTGGGCTTGCTGACTGCGGCTGGCAGGCTGTGGCTTGCTGGCTGCGACTGGCAGGCTGTGGCTTGCTGTAGGCCTGTGGGCTGGCTACTGGCCTGTGGGCTGGCTACTGGCCTGTGGGCTGGCTACTGGCCTGTGGGCTGGCTACTGGCCTGGCTGGCTACTGGCCTGTGGGTTGGCTGGCTGGCTACTGGGGCACTTGTAAATTATTTAAAGAAATAATCTATGCACAATAACCACTACTGCTCCAGAGTAAGTAGTCAAACCATTTAAGAACAGTTTGACAACTTACCTGGGATCTGCTGGGATATGGGGCTGTAGTAGGGAATAGGAGCAGTGGTGCAATGTGTGTGAAAGGTTCAGTGTGTGTGTGTGGGGGTGTAGTGTGTGAATGTGTAGGGTGTGTGGGTTGTGTATGTGTGTGGCAATGTTAGTATGGGGGGCTGTGTATGGGGTCTGTGTGTATATGGGTGGGCAGTGTATGTGTGTGTGTGAGGCAATGTGTGTAAATGTGTATGGTGTGTATGGGGGCAGTGTGTGAATGTGTATGGTGTGTGTTTGGGGGCAGTGTGTTTATGGGGCTAGAGTTCACTCTCACCACTGCGACCACCAGGAATCCCTGGGGGTCACAGTGTTGAGAGTGAACACTAGACCGTAGCTCCAGGACTAGAGTTGACTCTCGCAAGAGCGATAACGTTGCCATGGTAATCGCGGCAACGCTCTGTGCTCGTGCAAGAAGGACCCAGAGGAGCTGCAGGGTGAGCTCCCAGGTCCTCTCTTCCTCCCTCCCCTGCCTGCATGGTGCCTGCGGACAGGGGAGGGGGGGGGCAATTGCCCTGTTGCCCCCCTGGATCCACCAGTGATATCTACAGCCCTTCTGTGTGCCTTTTTGTCTCCCCCCGTCCCTCTGTATGTTTCTTCCTCCCCCCTCCTTCCCAGTCTCTCTTACCCCTCTGCCTCTTTCTCCCTCTCTTCCACTGTTTTTCTCCCCCTTTCCCTGTCTCTCTCTCCCCCACATCTCTCTTCCTCTCTGTCTCTTTTTCCCCCTCCCTATCTCTCTATTCCCCCTTCTTTCTCCCCGTGTCTCATTCTTCCCTCTCTGTCTCTTTCTCCCCCTCCCCATCTCTCTATTCCCCCTCTTTCTCACCCTGTGTCTCATTCTTCCCTCTCTGTCTCTTTTTCCCCCTCCCCATCTCTCTATTTCCCCTCTTTCTCCCCGTGTCTCATTCTTCCCTCTCTGTCTCCCCCCTCCCCATCTCTCTATTCCCTCTCTTTCTCACCCTGTGTCTCATTCTTCCCTCTTTCTCCCCCCTCCCCATCTCTCTTTTCCCCCTCTTTCTCCCTCCCCATCTCTCTGTTCCCCTCTTTTCTCCTCCTCCCCATCTCTCTATTGCCCCCTTTCTCCCCCTCCCCATCTCTCTGTTCTCCCTCTTTCTCCCTCCCCAATAGGATCATTACTTTCTCTACAGAGGATACTATACATATAACATATCATTGGCTTTCAATAAAAGATTAGACCCCCTGTCTTTTGATAGTTGTAGTCATCCTTGGGCTGTGTTGAATAGGGCTCCCAAGTAAATCAAGTTCTGAGATGACAGATATACCACTTGGTTACATTGCTTTTAAAGACGTGTTGTAGAAGAAACTGGATACAGCAATGACAATGGGCAATAAGCATATCTTTGCTAAGATAATGATGTTGCCAAGATAGTGATAAACAGCAACCCCTCTCTGCCTTAGTTCCATAATGAGGACAACCAGAACCTTGGAAAAGATGCAGGGAGCTATGTTGAGACCAAACGGGACAGAGAACAGCCTTGCAAATATTTTGAACTTGTCAATTGTAGATTATGCTAGCTTTAGTGTACCTATAATCTTAATTTTATTAATGACAGGAGGCGAGTATTTGCTTAAGTCTCTCTTTACTAGAACTCCACAGCAGCACAGAAAAACAACCAACCAATCAGAAAAGGTTAGGTACTATAAAACTCCCCTGCCCGTGCATCATTTCCTCTTTCAAGCTGCGAGAAAACAGAACAAAAGGCAGAAAATATAATGGGGAAGAAACAAAGTCCTAGATATAATGAATACGACAATGTCCACCATCCGAGAAGAACTGCCGAACCAGATAGTGTTGATAGACTGTAAACTGAAACGAGAGAAAAAACAGAATTGAACAGGTTGGTTAGCCAATGAAATGTACCCTGAACAAACATGTAGGTACCCAACGTAGCAACCAAAATTACCGTAATCTGCATAGATCCCAACCCGACTTATGAAAAACAGACATAAGAACAAGTGACAGGTAGCAGAGACAACAAGCAGAGTTGCATACGTACCTGATAAACTCAAACTATAAAATTAAACAAGGGAGGGATAAGAATGGGCGGGAAATAATCGCCTCCTGTTATTAATAAAATTAAGATTATAGGTACATTAAAGCTAGCATAATCTACAATTTTATAACATGACAGGAGGCTTCGTATTTGCTGCTTTAACGTTCAGCCAACAAATTAAACGCTGTTTGTTTCACTGGTACCTATTCCGTGAGCTGTTATAGGAATCTTAAATGGACCTTCCAACTGCGAGAAGTGACAGTAGACGGATCGAGGAAGATGCCAGCTGACGAAGCATCCCAAATACGGAATAACACCATCCGCTGATAGATCCATTGTACGTGGGGTTACAACCTGTTTCCTAGCAGCAGGTCCATAAGCTGCCAAGCTGACCTATTAGCCATTTTCCTGTAGGTGTAAAATGCCGAAGGTCATTTGCGGACTTAGGGCCGCGAGAAAAAACTGCCACCATGTCTCGACTCTTGATGTGGAAGGTGACTCCACCTATCGTGCCAGGGTCACCAGGTGATGTGGCCTCGCAGACAAATCTCCAACCTCAAGGAATGCGCCTAAGTCCACCACCAATTCCGTAATAGAACCGAGTAGGGTCTTTCCATTCCCTCATGACCTACCCGGTGAGTGGTCTAATCCGAGAATAAATTATTATGCAGGCAAGAGTGTGGTCAAAACTAACCGTATCCTAAGTGGTTCCAGTATTCCAAATGGACTGTGTAATCCGCAGCTGCGGTAGAGAAAAGATTCCCAAAGGACGTCCAATCAAGGTCCCAAACTGAACTTGTGTGGTGAAACGGTGGTCGATTATTTTGGAGATTGTGAATCCCGGAAATATTCAAAAGGATGGGAACGTAAACTGGGGTTGAGATTTCCATCCAGATATATCATCGTCTAAGAGTGATAAGATGTCCGGATCCAATGGTGATTGGGACCTGTATAACAAAGAAGAGCCCTCACGTGCGGTAGTGAGAGAGTGAAATAATCCGATTACCTGTTTGTACGATCCTGTTCCATGACCGACCTGTCAAAATTCGTATAGGGGTTCCTGGTCTACACGCTACCTATGATATAGGGTATAATATAGTGAGACCCTTAGGTCCCTGTACCCCTGACTGTCCGGGCAAGTAACTCCCACAGTAGGCCCTAGGTCAAGGGACCCAGGAATGTGAATTTGAGAACTGAAGTCAAGGCCTCCCTATAGAGGGATACCTCCCTTCTTAGCTTGGAGTCCCGCGAACACATAGTGTTCTCTAATACGCAGACAAGACGTAAAGTCACAACAGGTGACTCCAGAGAGCAGATAT